CTCTCTTTCCCAACAGCATGGCATGGGCATCCCCTCCATTTCTATTATGCTTCACGAACTCATCAAATTACTCCACCACGCGCGATGCTGTGATGTCACTATTATCAGAATCGGCACCTCGGGGGGAATAGGTAAGATGACTGGTATCTTCCTCGTGTTCAGGTAGCTCCCTGAATACAACGACACGCTCAGAGCTCAGCAGAAACCCAGTTGGCCTAAAAAGAAACCCAGAGGCTGGTCTTGAGGAAATCTATTCACATTACATTTTTCTTATTTTTTTCTTCATGGAAACCTAGAGGGAGAAACCCCACTGCCTACTGCCAGATGGTCTGAGGTGTTTATAAGATGAAAAGTAGAAGAATTGCTAGGAAATATGTTTTGAGGGTAAGGGTACATTTTAATACTTAGGAATTCTATTACTGATAGAAATGTGTGTTCAAGTAAAAAAAAAATCACAAAGATTTGCCAGTTTTATCAGCAATGTAAGCAGACTGCCTAGGTCTTAGACAAACGTTGCTTTTAACTCACATCAGTTATCACACCCTTTTCTTGGCTGTCTCCTATTAGTACACCAGAAAGAGACCAGCCTAGCCATTTAGAGACCAGCCTAACCTTTAGGGAAGGTTAAGGGACACTTCCTAAAATTTTCCCAGAGCCTCATCACCTCCCTTCTTCCTTGGCTAGACAGGCAGTTGTAAAGAGGCCTTGTTTTTGCTTTCAGAATATGCCAAAGGGAAGTTTTTAGGAAAACCCACCTTCTTCAGCCTTTTCTTAAGGATCAGGTCTTGTTAGGGTATGATTTTACTATATCAAATGTAAATACAGGTTGGGCATTGTAAATGGAAAATTTGGTTGACAGTGTGAACTGAATGGGCATTATATAAAGGGCTGATATTTTGAAATGATCTTAGAATTACACATTTTTGGAGAAAGAAGGGACCTCAGAAATACCGAAAAACTAAAGAAGCAGGCTGTTCAGTATCACAGAGCCACAGATGGCTGAGCCAAGCAGCTCCCCTAGAACAGACACATTCAAAAAGCCTCTCTGCAGTTATGGTCCAAGAATGAAGGTCCTCACACATGGGACAAAGAAGGACATTCATCCAGAGAGAGAAGGGAAACATTAGCAATTAGTGTTAATTAAGGCATCCGTCTACACTGTAGTCTATCCAACATTCAAATAAACAATAGCAGGGACCAATGCATATGGGGATGAATTAGATAACATTGTTTTTAAGGTTGTTCATGATCCTTGGGTTGTGGAATACAAGGATCTGTCTCCATAGACCACATCCATGCATTGTGCATCTGGCTGATGTGGTTGCCTCTTGAAATTGTTAAGTGTTCAGCATGACACTCTGTTGACCATCAGCTCATGGTCATGGTCTTTGGTTTCGTGGTAACA